GAGGAGCCCAGAGGCAGTGACTAAGGACGGAGAATTTGGGTAGACTATGTTCAAGTTGCCCTGCAAACTTAAAACCTCCTTTTTAGAAATAAGTATAACACGATTAAAATTCTGAAAAGAGACATTTGAGTTAGTGAAGGCTTAATGCATGTATGCAATACAGGAGGAAATTTACCAACATACAAGGTTTTAAATCAGAATTCCTAATTTTTAAAATTGATTACATTTGTGCCCATCAACACAGTGACCACTTTTGCCAATGCTCTATTTGAGTTTCAACATCAGGTTAGCAGTAAAGCATGGAAAAATATATATTTGAAGTCTGAGTTATACATGATTTGTTTTTGAGATAGAAGTAGATTAGTTCTCATTATGTATGTCATACTATTTAAGAGGTGAGCTCTGAAATGCAGTTTTATACAAACATATTTAATGGTAATTTACCTTGTTTGGAATTAGGTAAAACTATTTCTTCATACCCCAAATAGGATGAATGGATTCCATGATTCGTTTTAACTATATGAGTGAAGTTATTATTATAGCTAGTTGGACTATTCTAGATTCTCCTTATTCAGGATAATGTTGTAAAAGTTTGTCTGGTATTATACTCCAGATGCATTGGCCTTAAGGGTGTCAAAGGCAATAAAATGACAGCACATTTAGATGTTCTTATTTAATCAAAGATAGCATAGATTTAAAGAATGCATGTTTTAATGAATAAGCCATAGTTTTTAGTAGATGTGACAGGTGGAGTCTAGGTATCTTGGCTGTGCATGACACGTGTATGTCTTCATTTTCCAAATAGGAAAACAAATATATGACATGCTTGGAAAGAAATATGAAAGCAACGTTTTCTGTGGCTGAACTAAAAATTGTGTACAATTTTCCTAATCCAATATTTGTTAGTACATGCATTCCATAAAACAGTGAGGATAGAAGACAGTTCACTCATGCAAGCCAGGAAAATTTTCAGCTTGTTTCCACTACTATTTTATACTGAGGAAAATCTTCCAGCGGTAATTGACATGTCCTGTTCCTTGGTTATTTTTCTAGACTAAGATTTTTTTTTTAAATTTTGCCAGTCTCTATGAAGTATTCTAAGTGAAGAGAAATATTTTCATTAAGGAACTTAAAAAAAATAAATGTGAGTCACTTCCAGTGTCTGATTTGGCGTGTAAGGAGCTTGGAAGTCATTATTTCCTTCCTCATAATAAGAAAAGAAAATAATAAAGCTGAATGAACTAAAAATCAACAACTTTTTTTTTTAGATTTATTAGATAATTGAGGTCTCAAGCCAAACCACCCCCAGCTTTGAGATGAGAAGGTGGAAACAGAAAATCACAACATACGGGAGCAGACGCCCATGAACAGAAACTTCTGCAGGAGTCAGTACGGGGCAAGAAATCCTAAACTATAACCGATGAATTACTGCAGGCTCAGAGTGGATAAGTTGGAGAGATAGTCCAGGGGGATTCAGTGTCAGGGAGTCCCCACACTTTTGTCAGTTTTAACTTCAGGAGCCTGAAGATCAGAGAAAACTCCTCTCTGTTTCAGCAGGTGGAGAGAGAAAATAGCCATTCTGAAAATTTCCCAGAGCATTCTGTACTACATAACAAAGGCTGCCTTCAAGAGAAACTGTTTTACCAGCACCTAACTGACCTAAGGGAGGAGATACCCAATAGCGTGTGAGAGATGGGAGAGATTACTGGGAAATTCCGTTGTTTCCTGTACTATTCATGAATTCGTATAGTGATATTTTAAACAGGACTTGGGCTGATTGTGACGTATATTACAAACTAAATATTCATTACTAGAAAAAGTTTTTTTAAATGTTGTATATGATTGGTATGCTAAGAAATGATAAAAAATGCAATCATATGCTCAATTAAAGTCAAAGAGACCAAAAAAGAGTGAATGAAAAAAAAAAAAAGAATAACTGATTTGCAAATAATAAACAAATAAGGTAAGTGTTAATTCCAACTATCTCAATAATCACCTTAAACGTGGCTGATTTATATTCACCAGTTAAAAGACAAACAGAGAAGTTGAAACCAAAATAAAGAACCAAATGTCATCAATAAGAAGCCCACTTGTAGTATAAATACAGAGGTAAATTAAAGGTGAAAGAACGGGAAATATATTGGAAGAATGCAAAAAGATATGCTATGTCAACATTAGTAAAAAGAAAGTAGCTGTGGCTACATTAATTTCAGACAAAGAAGACTTTAGAGGAAGGAGAATTATCAAGGATAAAGTTGGGGCCTATAAAATAATAAAAAGGTCATTACTCTAAGAAGACAAAACACCCTTCAGTGTGTAAGAACCTATCATCAGGCCTTCAAAATACACAAAACAAACCTAATAGCACTGTAAGGAGAAATAGATGACTCCACTCTCACAGCTGGAAACTTCAACACTCCTCTGTCAGTAATAGGGCTATCAGGCAGAAGTCAGTAAGGATATAGTTAAACTGAACAGCACCATCAGTCAACTGGATATTTTTGTCACTTTTGAATACTTCATCCAACAACAGCAGAAAATATTTTCTTCTCAAGCTCACATGAAACATTCACAAAGGCAGACTACATTTGGGCCATAAAACACATCTTAACAAACTTAAAAGAAATCCTAAATGTGTGCCTTCAGACCGCAGTGGAATTAAGGTAGAAATCAATAACAGAAATATAACTGGAAAATTCCATAATACTTGAATATTAAGCAAGTAGACTTCTAAATAACATGAGTCAAAGAAAAAAATCTTGAGAAATTTTGAAGTACTTTGAATTAAATGAAAAAGCAAATACAACTTATACCAATGGGTGGGATTCCGTGAAAGTTGTGTATAGAGGGAGATCTTTAGCATTGAATGCATATATTAGAAGAAAGATCTAAAAATCAATAATCTGTTTGCAATTTAGGAAGCTAGGAAAAGAAGAGTAATTTAAATCCGAAATAAGCAGAAAAAAAGAAGTAATAAAAAGTAAAGTAGAAATTAATAAAATTGAAATTAGGAAATCATAAAATAATCCAGTTAAGAAATGGGTAGAAGACATGAAAAGACATTTTTCCAAGGAAGGCATCCAGATGGCTAATAGACACATGATGCTCTACATCACTTATCATCAGGGAAATACAAATCAAAACCACAATGAGATACTACTTCACACCTGTCAGATTGACTAGAATTGACAACACAGGAAACAACAGTTGTTTGCAAGGCTGTGGAGAAAGAAGAATCCTCTTAAACTCTTGGTGGGAAAGCAAACTGATGCAGCCACTCTAGAAAACAGTATGGAGTTCCTCAAAAAGTTAAAAATAGAATTACCTTATGACCCAGCAATTGTACTACCAGGTATTTATCCAAAGGATACAAAAATACTGATTTGAAGGAACACACGCACCCTGAGGTTTATAGCAGCATTATGAACAATAGCCAAATTAAGGAAAGAGCTCAAATGCCCATCAACTGATGAATGGATTAAAGAAGTTTTGATGTGTGTATATACATACATTTATATATATAACTATATTAGTCATAAAAAGAATGAAATCTTGCCATTTACAATGATGTGGATGGAGCTAGAGTGTATTATGCTAAGCAAAATAACTCAGAGAAAGACAGATACCATATGATTTCACTCATGTGAAACAGAGTGGAGGGAGTGGGGGAAACAGAGGCAAACCATAGAATAGATTTCTAATTATAGAGAACAAACTGAGGGTTTCAGGAATGGAGGTGAGTGAGGGGATAGATTAAATGGGTGATTGGTATTAAGCAGGCCACTTGTGATGAGCACTTGGTGTTGTATGTAAGTGATGAATCACTAAATTCTACTCCTGAAACTAATATTACACTATATGTTAACTAACTAAAAGTTAAATTAAAACTTGAACTTGAAATGAAATAAAATCATAGAGAAAATCAAAACCAAAAGCTCGTTCTTTGAAAAGATTAATAAAATTGAAGAGCTTCTTGCCATAAAAACTAAAAAGAAAAGAAAAACAAATTTGTAATGATCAGAAATAAAAGGTGAACCAGCATTACCCATAGGCACTAAAAGGATAATAGAGAAATATTATGTACAACTGTATGCCCACAAACCTGATAATCTAAGTAGACCAGTTTCTTCACACACAATCTACCAAACTCAGGTGAGAAATAGATAATCTGAGCAAGCCCACATCTAATGAAAAAAATTCATATATAATTAAAAATCTTCCAAATCAGGGGCATCTGGATGGGTCAGTTGGTTAAACGTCTGACTTTGGCTCAGGTCATGATTTCATGGTTCATGGATTCAAGCCCTGTGTTGGGCTCTGTGCTGACAGCTTGGAGCCTGCTTCCCATTCTGTGTCTCCCTCTCTCTCTGTCCATCCCCTGTTCATGCTCTGTATCTCTCAAAAATAAGCATTTATTAAATATTAAAAATAAAATCTTCCAAATCAGAAAGCACTAGACTTAAATGGATTTACTGGTGAATTCTCCAAAACATTTAAAGAAGAAATTATACCAGCTATATATACTCCAGAAAATTCAAGCAAAAGGAACATTTCTGACCTTATTCTATGAGACCAGTATTCCAAATTAAAAACAATGACATTGCAAGAAAAGGAAACTACAAGTCAATATCTCTCATCAACATAGATACAAAAGTTGTCAACAAAATATTAGCAAATCTAATCTAATGAAAACAAATATATATATATATATACGCATATATATATACATACATACATATATATATGTGTGTGTGTGTGTGTGTGTGTATATATATATATATATATAGCATAACCAAGTGGGAATTATTCCAAGTGTGTCAGCCTGGTTTAATATTTGAAATGCAGTTAGTTTAATCCATTACATCAACAGAGGGAAGCAGAAAATTTATCCTAACATTGTCACAGAAAAAGCATTTGACAAAATCCAACATTCGTTTGTGAAAAAATACCTCAGTAAACTAAGAATTAAAGTGAATATCCCTAATTTGATAAATAATATCTACAGTGCTTCTTCAGCATGGTGAAATTGAAATGATACAGAGAAGATTAGCATAGCCTCTACATAAAGATGACCCATGAATTCATTTTATATATATATTCCATATTTTTATGGTGACTATCATTGATAATCTGTATTATATATTTGAAATTTGCAATGAGAGTGGATCTTAAGCATTCACACACACATGCACACACATATACACAAAGTGGTGATGGATGTGTTAATTAACTCAGTTGTGGGAATCCTTTCATAGTGTGTACATGTATCAAATCATCATGTTGTACACTTTAAATATATTTCAATTGTGTAGTCATCAAGACAGTATGGTACTGGCACAAAAACAGACACATAGATCAATAGAAGAGAGTATAAAGCCCAGAAATGGACCCACAAATATATGGTCAGCTCATGTTCAGCAAAGTAGAAAAGAATATCCAATGGAAGACAGACATTCTCTTCAACAAATGGTGTTGGGAATACTGGATGACAACATGCAGAAGAATGAACTGGACCACTTTCTTACACCATAAACAAAAATAAATGCAAAATGGATGAAAGATCTAAAAGCGAGACAGAAAACAATCAAAATCCTAGAGGAAAACATGGGCAACAGCCTCTTTGACCTCAGTTGCAGCAATTTCTTACTAGACACTTCACTGATGGCAAGAGAACCAAAGCAAAAAATGAACTATTAGGACATTATCAAGAGAAAATCTTCGGCACAACAAAGAAAACAACCAAATAAAAGGCAGCCTATGGAATGGGAGAAGATATTTGCAAATGGCATATCTAATAAAGGGTTGGTATCCAAAATCTATAAAGAACACATCAAACTCAACAACCCAAAGACAAACAACCCAGGTAAGAAATGGACAGAAGATATGAAGAGACAGTTTTCCAAAGAAGACATCCAGATGGCTAAGAGGCACATGAAAAGACGTTCAATATAACTCATCATCAGGGAAATACAAATCAAAACCACAATTAGCAATCACCTCACACCTGTCAGGTTAGCTAAAATTAAGAACACAAGAAACAATAGATTTTGGCAAGGATGTGGGGAAAGGGGAACCTTCTTGCACTGTTGGTGGGAATGAAAACTGGTACAACCATTCTGGAAGTAGGAAGTTTCCTCAAAAAACTAAAAATAGAACTACACTATGATCCAGAAATTGCACTATTAGGTATTTACCCAGGGGATACAAAAATACAGATTCAAAGAGGGTACATGCACCCTAATGTTTCCAGCAGCATCCTTATCAACAATAGCCAAACTATGGAGAGAGCCCAGATGTCCATCAATTCATGAATGGATAAGGAAGGTGTGGAATATCTATATGTATAGATCTATAGATAAAAGACCCTATAGATATAAAGATCTATAGATATAGATCTAGATACAATGTAATATTACTCAGCCATCAAAAAGAATGAAATCTTGCCATTTGTAATGACATGAATGGTGCTAGAATATATTACGCTAAGAAAGTAAGTCAATCCGAGAAAGACAAATAACATATGATTTCACTCACCAAGAAGATCTAAATAAATAGGAAGATATTCCATGTTTATGGATGGGAAGAATCAATATTTTGAAGATGTCAGTTCTTCCCAATTTGATGTAACATATAATGGAATTCCAGTCGAAACTCCAACACATGATTTTGTAGATATCAACAAACTGATTTTAAGTTTTATATGGAGAGACAAAAAGACCCAGAATAACCAATACAATATTGGAGTATAAAAACAAAGTGAGAGGAATTATAATTCCTTATTTCAAGACTTAGTATAAAGCTATAGTAATCAAGACAGTGTAATATTGGTAAAATGATATACAAATAGATAAATGGTACAGGACAGAGAGCTCAGAAATGGACTCACACAAATAGGATCATCTGATATTTGACAAAAGAACAAAGGGAATTCAATAGAGAAAGCATTGTCCTTTCAACAAATGGTGTTGGAACAACTGGACATCCAATGCCAAAAAACCCACAAAACAAACAAACAAAAAAAACCTTGACAAAGAACTTACACTTTCCATGGAAATTAACCCAAAGTGGATTATAAACCTAAAAGAAAACGGTAAAACTATAAAACTCCTAGAAGACAAAATAGGAGAACAGTTAGGTGCCTTTGGGTTTGGTGATGAGTTTTCAGAGACATTACTTCAGTTGTGAATGAAAACAAATTGGTGAGCTGGACTTCATTAAAAGTAAAACTTCTAGGGGCACCTGGGTGGCTCAGTTGGTTGAGCATCCAACTCTTGATTCTGGCTCAGGTCATGATCCCAGGGTCATGGGATCAAGCTTTGTGTCAGGCTCCACAAAGAACATGGAGCCTGCTTAGGATTCTTTCTCTCACTCCCTCTGCCCCTTTCCCCTGCTCATATGCACTCTTTCTCTCTCTCAAAATAAGAAAAAAATAAATTAAAACTTCTGCTCTGCATAAGACACTATTAAGAAAAATAAAAGATAAGACATCAACTGGGGAAAAAATTGCAAACCCATATCTGCGAAAGGATTGTGCCCAAAATATAAAAATAAGGCTTAAATATAACAATAAATGTAACAATTTATTTTATTGTTAAATATAACAATAAAAAACCCAAATAAAACAGACAAAAGATCTGAGCACATACCTTATTGAAGAACATATACAGGTGGCAGAGAAGTATAAGAACAGAAATGATGAACAATATGTTATCAGGAATATGCAGATTGAAATGAAAATGAGATATCGGTGCCTACCTATTACAAAGCAACAGTCCGAAAACACTGAAAACACCAAATGCTGATGAGGAAAAAGAGGAATGGGGACTCCCCTTCATTGGTCATGGGGCTGCAGAATGGTACAGCCAGCTTTGGAAGACAAGTTGGCAGTTTTTTACAGAACTAAACATAGTCTTATCATACGATCCAATACTTGTGCTCCTTACTATATACACAAGTGAGTTGCAAACTTATGTTTATACAGAAATGTGCATACCGTTGCTACAAGAACTCTATTCATAATGACTAAGCTTAGAAGAAACCAAGATGTCCTTCCTAGGTGAATGAATAAACTAACAGTGGTATATCTATACAAAGGAATATTATTCAGTGATAAAAAGAAATGAACTAGCAAGCCACAAGAAAATATGGAAGAACTTTAGATGCATATTGCTAAGTGAAAGAAGCTAACTATAAAGGCTATATACTGTATCATTCCAACTATGTGATAGAATAAAAAGACAAAACAGTGGATATAGTAAGAAGACCAGTTGCCAGGTGTTTGGTGGGGAGAGAGGGAGGAAAAGACAAAGAGGTGGAACATGGGATTTTAGAGCAGAGAAACTATCCTGTACAATCCTGTAATGGTGCATGCATGTCATTATACATTTATCAAAACCCATGGAATATACAAGGGAAAGAATGGACCCTAATGTAAACTATGGACTTTACTTAATAATTATGCATCAATATTGGTTCATTCATTAATTGTAACAAATGTACTGCACTAATGTGAGATGTTAATAGTAGGCACATTGCATGTGGTAGACAGGAGGAGGAGGAGGGGATACACAGAACTGTATGATTCCTCTCAACTTCCTTTAAGCTTAAAACCACTCAAAAACATAAAGTCCATTATTATTAGTTTTTTAAATGGGTACAAGTTCAAGAAGCAATTCCTTAAGAATTTCATCTCTGTTTAGGCCTTATGAGGACTACAACAGGAGGTCTCATTTACCACATATTTGTATTTACCAACAATCCATATGGTGAAATAATGTTCTTTATGAACATGAATAGGCAAAACCTCAGGTCATCGGTTGGTGTGACTGTGTTTGCCTAACTCTCCTTTGTTATTCACTCTGGCAACTTCTATTTTTCACTCTATTCAAGGGAGGGATGCACAAGTGTCCCTTCCATTGAAGAAGTCAGTGTTGTGGGGGATAAAGGTAACTAACATACTGATTCCTCAAAGGCTACCAAATTTACCTGACGACCAGCTCTTACATAGGAAGGCTTCATAAAAGAAGCCTCTTGTACTATTAAGTCACAAATCAGGATTTGAAACCACGTACTTCAGTAACAACACTAAAATATCACAGGAAAAAGGGAAGACCTTTAATTAGAAAATATTTTAATAGCTTTGATTTAAAACTACAAATATTTAACCTATGAAAGTGTTTATATGTATAGTTCTTTCATTCCTTCCTAGCAAAAGCCATGAAGGGCATAGTAGCTATGATGAATTCTGACAATGATGGCTATAGAAAAAAGATCCATTGGTGTTTAAATAGGAGAGACCTTTCACACACTGATGCAGCTGAGGAGAATAGAAGTTATTGCTCAGAAATAAAATAGTGTGGTGACTTTCACAATTATATATTTTTTTACTGTTACTGCCATTCACTACTATTCTGATCAGTGTGGGACTCAGAGAAACTGAAAATGAGATACAATACCAACTAGCCGCTAGTACCCTGTGTCCCTGCTCTACTTACAGCATACAAAATATTTTACTTGCTTGAAACTGACAGGTTTGAGCAAGTTAGAAGAAAAGGAATATACCTTCAGAGTCAACAAAAATATTTGATGACTTAATTCAAAAGTCCTATATTCAGGTGAATTTTGTGAATCCTATAATCATAGTGATTTTTTCTTCTTCTTTCTTGGTTCAAAAGAATGAAACATTATCGATACATGACTTCACAGAAAGAAAATGAGTTGTGTTTAATTGTGGGGGGGGCAGGTGAAATTTGCACACGGTTTAAATATATTCTGCCTCATGCTGTAAGATCTATCATTGTACTGATAGAGTTGCATTCATCTATTTCCAGGTAGTGGCCAGCACTTCCTGTATGTCAACTCATCTGGCCCCAAAGAAGGACACACAGCAAGAATCACTACTTCCCAATACTTTCCAGCAAGCCTCGGAATGTGTACCGTTCGGTTCTGGTTCTACATGATTGATCCCAGGAGTGCGGGGATATTAAAGGTACAAAAGGAAGGCAGAGATTCGTGTTTCACTGAAATATTCATAGAATGTGTTTAAACATTTTTTAAAAAGATCACACAACACCAATGATGATTCCATTACTCTCTCATTTCTTTCTGGG